TTTATGGTACATAGTCCCATAAACACTGCTGGAGCTTAATTATATTTAACCATAAGACCTCTGTACCTCTCCTCCTGCTGGAGAGTGAAACGATATATCTCTACTCTTTCTGTTCATTCAAGGATGAAGATCTGACCTATATCCTCCCAAAGCTCTCTTTATCAGGTAGAGACTGTTCATTATTTCCCATAATAGTAGCATGTGAGTATCAGTGGTGTACCCCAGCAAACACAATCTTTCCAAACCCTTTGGTTTAAAGTCACCTAGCATCTTTATATATAACATCCTCAAATTCACATTCCAGGAGGCAAGTCACCAATCACTCAGGTGTAGCTTGAACCCGCCAGTTTGGGAATAATTCTGATGTTCACTTTGTAACATTTGATTTTTTTTAAAAAAAAGAGAGAGAGAATGCATTATTTCTGTGCTGGAAAGGCAGGGCCAAGCTTAGAGGCCACAGGCAACAGTGAATTGATACTTTACAGAGTCAATGGCAATTTACGCCATCAAGTCCCAATCTTTGCTATATATGGAAAGCTATATAAAGATATCTGTGACTGTAGCTGTCCCCTGTCCAGCCTCTACTGAACAAATCCAGTGACAGGGTAACCCACCAATTTTCTAAATTGGTTCCACTATCTAAATGCTTTTTCTGTTAGAAAAAATGTTCATACCATTTACAATACCTGGAATCTGCCTTCATATAATTAGACCCATTATTCTGCATTTGTCCCCTAGAATGACAGAGACTATGTATTTTCTACTGCCATAAGAATATGCTTGCTCTACTCAGAGAATATGTCTATTCTGATCTTCTTATTCTACTATTCTACTCATATAAATGCATGCATATGATATGTTCATATGAATGCATGCCTAACTTCGCATCTGTGCAGTTAAATGGTTTGTATCTGGTAACTGATTTATGACATTACCGTAAGTTCAGATTTTTTTTAAAAAAATGAATTCATCAACAGCTATACAACAGAAAACTCACCCACAAATAGACATACACAATTATTTTATATGAGAATTATTTATAACATCTGACTCCATTTTTGTATAGGATATATGAACAAAATGTAAACTATGCAACTATGAGTCTCAAACTTTTCAAACCAAGTTATGATTGGTCCTCTCTGAATTTGATTATTTTCTTGCAGAATTTTTATTATCCCAAGTAACATTATTAGTGCTAGTTATTTTTAAAATGTGCAAAAACATCACTAAAATGTTAATTTTTTCCCCTCTAGGAGTGATCTGGTTTACCTTATATTTTATAAGCTGTAAATCAAAGGTTTTGCTGGAAATGTTTATTTTTTTCTGATCTACAATTAACAAAAGTCTAATGCAATTTAAGATATTTAGCAATTATCTTACTAATTTCTTTCCGAGTGAAGGGGATAATGGGAACATCTTCTTGCTTGTGGTACAGGTACTGCAAAGCTGAATATTCATATGCTAAATTTATCTTTCTGTCCTGAAAGGCAGCAAGATGAAGACAATGTTCCAAACCCCAATTATGTCCAACAATAAATCAAAACAAAGAGGGTAATAACTCTTGATAACAAGTATTAAAGCTAGGATTTGGTGGCATATGGGACATGCCCTATTCATCCAACTTCAAGATCCTCAAGTAATGAGAAAGAGTACAAACATCCAATTTTATGAAAGTTAACTATGAAGTGGGTATTACTAGCTATTCTTCTTCAAATAAAAAATGTTAAAATACTTACCTACCAGTGATGGNTTAGAGAGGGCTGAAAGCCCTATGAAGCGGTATATAAGTCTAACTGCTATTGCTAACTGCTATACACAACAATATGAAATTACAGCTGCCAGTTCTTTAACTGGTGTTAGCCTTCGTAAGCGCTAAGTTCTTCCTAAGATCTAAGTCATATGGCCTTTTCTAATTAGTAGATGGAAATTTTGTCAATGTGTTATCCAAGGCTTTTTCATATACCATCCAGTGTACTGATAACCACTGTGACCACAGCCAATTTATGCCATAATTTTTCAACTTTATTTGTGATACTTGGTGATCTCCAATTCTTTGTCTTCTATTCTACTATCCCGATATTGTCACATCAATTATCCACATAATAATTATCCATTCTTCTTCTTTTCAACCACACTTAAATCTGTTGTATTATGCGGAAAGACTTTATTGGTTTGTATTTGGAAATCCCACAATATTTTAAACTGCTCATTTTCAATTAATTTTTCCAACTATTTCTTCCCATTAATTTACATTACTGGGTCATGATAATTTTTCATAATAGGTTTGAGCTGTGTATATAATCTACTATTCCTCCTTCTTCTTTGCACAATCTGCACTTTGAATCGTTAGATTTTTTTTTCAGTTCTGGCCTTGATTGTATTAGTTCAAATAGCTTGTTCTTGAACAGCCAAAATCAAACCTTCAGCTTCTTTTTCTAATTCTTCCAATTGTAAGCTATTGCCATGTTTTATCTTTTCCACTTTTCCCTCCATCTTTTAAAGAAATTGACCATGTAATGCTTTACCTTGCTGGCATTTTGTTCATGTATTATTTTGGTATTTAAATATTTTTTCTGTACATTCAGCAAATTCCAATTTTTATCCTGCATCAGTCCCCTTTTTTACTGACTTTTACACAACCATATGTGTTCTGACCCCCACCTTNATTACGTTATCTTCAGGCAGAGACTGTAATTAGGTTTATTTTGGCTCGCAGCCAGTCTGAGCCGAGAACTGATAAAGAGAGTTCCTTTTAAGTTGTTTGCCTGTCATCTGTTTAACGAGCGGAGAAGGGGGGACAGAACAGATAACCTTACACTATATGTATTAAACCACTGTCCCTGTATTTTTTCTGATGTAATAGAGAACTTTATACCATATCATCTTATATCATTTCAGCAGTCCTTAAAATGCTGATTATTAAATCCTGTTTTCTTGCATAAAATACTGAATTTTAATTAATTCTTGCATCCACAATACAATGCATCTATGTATATTTTGTTAAAATATATCACAGCAATTCTAATAAATCACTCCCACATTATGGACTAATTGCAGTTAAAACAGCAGTACTGAGTGACAAATGGAGTCATTGTCTGATCCAGGAGGAGGGCAACCAAGGGCAGAATGACTGAATAGAAGAGATGCCATGGAGGCAGCTAAGAGATGGCAGAGACTGTGGGAGCAGGCAACTCCATAAAGCATGGAGTAAGCTAATTGATTCATAAGAGTGTTTGGTTATATTAAAAAGAAATGACCACCCCAGGTTTGGCTTGTAGGGAAGTACTGGGAAATGACAGGAATTTGGGAAGGAAATTAACCCTTAAGATCAAAAAGTCCAATTTATGTTCCTTTCATATTCTTTCTGCATGTATTTGCTACTCCTCAGATATCTTTCTCTTCCCCCCTTACTCCCCCCCCCCGGCAATACAAGGTACCGGAGTTCATTAGGAAGTTTTGTTCATTGTTCAATTTGATTGTAACACTGAAATACAGTGAGAACAATTTGAAGCATATTTGAGACTGGCATTTCTTCTATGGTATTATGGTCCCGGGCTGAGTTTAGCCATACCTTGCCTATTCTGATCTCAGTAGCTCTGAGGATGGACATCCTTCTTTTCTATTCCAAGCATCTCCAGTAAAAGAGATGAAAGAGTCATTTCCTTGAGAACCTAAAAATTTCCGGTTACAGGAACACACGGTGTAGCATCCCTGGATGGAAATCAGCCTGGGAATTTTTTTATTTTAAACTAGCAAGTTCTGCAGCCTGAAAAAAGGATTCAAAATCCTGATCTAGAAAAATCAATATATAGAGAAATCAAAGATTTATGGAAATCAAAGATATGTTGTTAGCATGTTCTTTGCAAGTTAATACAAATTAAGTCTGGCAAAGAACAAATTCTTTATGATCAGTCATGCCCAAGAAATATCAATTTTGTAGTACAAAAGCAATTACCTAAGATATTTTTTCAATTGTATCAAATTTGGTAGGTTAAAATTTGGTTTAATTGCAAACAGCTGGTGATCTTTCTATAGTGTTCCATATGTGTTCAGGATGAAACATTGAGACTAGATTGGGGGTATTTTATGACTGATTTTAAGAAGCATACAAAAAATAAACCAAAAAATTGATGAACAGGAGCACAGTCTCTTTTATTATGATGGTAATATATTCAATTAATGAGTTAACCATAGATAATTGGGATATTATTAGCATCTTGATCTCTTTGATTCTGGGTTTAATAATGCCCATTAAAATCTCTCTTTTTGGGGGGAGGATGTAACTATCTAAAATATGATTATGTCCCAAGGGAAGGAAGGAGGGCATGACTGACTGACTGAATAAGTGTTTTTTCCACTACACTTTTGCTTAATAGCTGGTCTCAGTGGAAAAGTCCACTGTGCATGCATACATATACAGGCAGATAGTTGGGAATACCTTTTGAAGCAGCCACACAAGCCTTGTAAAATATTACTGCTTTAGTATTTCAGTAATAATGAAAGGTTTTGCAAAACACGTGATTGTATGCCTTGCAAAATATCTCTTTTGAGTTTTTTGCAGTCCTGGTAGTGATTGCTACTCATTCATTCAATTACAGAAACAAAACTACTTAATTTCATATCATGAATCGTTTTGGTTTTTAAGAATTCTGCCCTGGTCAAAGGAGAATTTCTATGGTGTACCCATTAAGCCATCATCACAACTGCAACATAAGTGAAGCAATCACATACATTTTTGTACCAACAACACAGAATGGTATTCTTCCTCCCTCTATCTTCCCACAGCTGGCCAAATCCAATCCAGAGTTGGGGATATTCGAAAACAGATGTGGGACACATATGGATGAATAAAGGGAAATCCTATTGGTCAAGTGAAAGTCTATTCAATTAATATTGCACACAATCCGGAGAGGTCTCTGTCTCTGTCTGTCTGTCTGTCTGTCTGTCTGTCTCTCTCTCTCTCTCACACACACACACACACCTGTGATTTGTACACTTACCTAACCACCTCATTAGCGATGTCATGATCTGAAGATATTTAGTTTTCTGCACATTAAAAAAGGTGAAAGGGCCCAAAAGAAGAGTAAATACTGCCTGGAAAAAAACAATTGAGAAAAACAATGTAGATTAGGAAAAGCAGCTTCCTCGTAGAAGTATAAAGAGTTCACTGATATACAGTTTTATTATTAGTCACTTAAAAAAATTATTAGTCACTTAAAAAAAGAATACATTTGCTTAGTAAACAATTTACTTATTTTTTTATTAAGGTAGCGGCATAATACTAATAGGCTTCATCACATTGGCTACAGCTGATAGTGCTACACAAACTACTCTACCTCAGATTATACCTAGTATCCATTATTAATATTTTTTTGCAAATTTCTCCTAGGAAGAAACAAATTTTGGCATTTTTAGTAAGACTCAAATTCATTCTAAAGTGGTTTATTAAACTTATATCATTAATACTAAAATATGCCATATAGAATACATTGTCAGAAAAAGTGATAAATAGCAAAATAAAAATTCAGAATATACATTTATGTAGGTGCAAAAGCAGCCCAATATTTCTTGCACATTTCACTACTAACTTTAAAGAGGTTGTCATAATTAAAATGACTAATCATCCATTATGTTGTTTTTTTTAATTGACAAAAAGGTGGACAAATCAATTGGGACTGAAGTCTAAAAGAGACTTTCTTTTCACTCTGCTTGACTCAATGAAAATCACCCCTAACTTGTTGTTTGTCCTACTAAATATTCATGTTTTGTCACCTGGGATAGAAGAAAGGGAATGTGGGCATGAGCATGCATTTCATTTTCATTTGGAAATATGTCCCAGGTGCAATCATGTCTCTCATGGTTAACCAAGGTGTTGAAAAAAATGATGGGAGATTCAAATTTCACTTCTTTTAAGTATTTGGTCCAGGAACTTATCTCATGGCCATATTTTCAAAAACTGACAGTAGTGATGCATCGACAGTATTGTCAGAATCAATAGTTTTATAGGATTATCAATAACCTGTTTCCCTTTCAAGGATTGATTTTATACTAATNTGACATGATAGCAGTATTCCAGTATTTGAGGGGCTGCCACAAAGAAGAGGGGGGTCAACTTAATTTCCAAAGCACCAGAAGGCAAGACGAGAAAAAATGGATGGAAATAAATCAAAGAGAGAAGCACATTGGAATTAAGAAGAAGTTTCCTAACAGTGATAACAATTAGCCAGTGGAGCAGCTTGTCTTCAGAAGTTGAAGTGCTTCATCATGGATATTTATAAGAAAATACTGGACAGCCATCTATCTGAAATGGTATAGGGTGTCCTGCTTGAGCAGGGGATTTGACTAGAAGACTTCCAAGGTTCCTTCCATCTCTATTCTGATTCCTCATAATGCTCAAGAATTGCTCCACCAATTCTTCTTGTACGTTTTTGTGGTATTGTGCTATCAGCACATCTGGGCCTAGTCCGTGCCTTTGAATATATGAATGTTTTAATGTTTTCCTGCTAAGTATTTAGTGATGTTTTTTCTATTTGTTTATTTACAATTCCTTGTGATTATCTTTACGTATTTTGGTAAGCCACTCAGAATGGTTAAGAAAGTGGGTGGCATGTAAATTGTCTTGGAATGTGTTCCTTCCTTATATAATTCCATCATATGATCTCCCGCTTTGTAGACACATCTTGTCACAATTTCTTAGCTTCATAGTGGTTGGCTATGGCATCTTCAGGGGTCCATTTTATCTCCTAGACTTTTTAACATCTACATAATATTTTTGGAAAAAAAAGTCATCTAGGAATGTGATTACTGAGCACTTATTAAGGTCCTGTCAATAAGCAAATGACATCCATGTTTACCTCTTCTTTTCATCTAATACAGGTGAGCTGGTTGGCATTATGAACCATAATGGATCATAAACAAGCTCTAGTATTGGTGGATAATGTATCTGTCCATACGAGTGATGCTAGAAGAATCCACACCTGCTCTAAAGGAGCAGTATCACAGCTTGGAGGTTCTCCTAGAACCATCACCATCACTAGGGGCCCAGGTGGCTTCTAGTCCATGTTCTCAGCATAAATGAGAACTATAGAGCCGAGGTGGCGCAGTGGTTAAATGCAGCACTGCAGGATACTTCAGCTGACTGCAGTTCAGCAGTTCGGCTGTTCAAATCCCACCAGGCTCAGGGTTGACTCAGCCTTCCATCCTTCCGAGGTGGGT